AAAAAAGAATGTTGTAATGCTGAGATTTAAGCCTAAGTGTACCTAACTTAAAACCCTGTGCTGTTTAACTGCTGTGCTGTGTACTGTCTTTCAAAATTATCGTTAAGAGCAACTAGAAGCTGACCAAAAAAAGAAAGAAAGAAAGAAATGCCTAGTTTCTGTGCCTAATAAGGAAGAAGTCCAAGTGGGGTCTCCTAGGGAGGACTTTTTGAGAGTGACAACAGCTGCAGTGATACATTAGGTTGCCTGGCAACAAAAGGACATTTACAACCATACCATTTCCGTTACTTTTAACTGCTTATAGGAATGCCCTTTGATAGATGTGTTGTATGTATTTGTATTACTATTTGCAGGAAAACTGAAAGTGACCTTAATGACAGCTTAAAAACAAAAACAAAAACACCTCAAAATGGTGATGCGTAGATGGGCAAGATTAAGCGTGTGACAGAAGTGCTTGGCTTCCCTTCTTCTGACCCACCTCCCAAATCCTTACTCCTTAGTAAGTCCTGTGCCGTTTCTGTTGGCAGCAAGATTCTGCCAAAGATCTTCCCCTCCCTCCCACTTCCCATAACACTGGGTTTATTTCAGTTGGAAGGGTTATTACAGGAGGGTCCTAGCCTCCTCTTTGAGAAGTCTGGACTCTGAACTTGGGACAAGTTTTCTGTATTCAGACTTTTATGAGCCAAATCTATTTCTGCGGGTAATTATTTTTTCTACATTCCGAAGAGTCAGCTTATAAACGGTTTCCTATTTGGTTCTTGACAACATAGTTCATAACCACCAGGAAGGTTACTGAAATAATTCTGTTGGTGTTGCTGCTGCTGCGTGATTGGGTCTGTTTTAAGGACAGACCTACTCAGAACCAGTCAACTTCTTATATTTTCAATTCAGTTCAGTGCCCAGGGAAAGTGTCATCAGGTATGTAGATATGTACTATCTTTGTGAAACTTCTGCCTTGTGACTATCATTTGTCAACTTGTCAACCTGAAGGTAAAGATCTTATCTAACATACCTAACAGTATCTCAGCCTTGGCACATGTTAAGAGATAAATACAACTAGGAAAAAAAAGTGAGTTGAGACTTTGATAGTCTGTTGCTCTCTTGTGACCTTTTACATAAGGTAAGCTTTATTGTGGGGTTCCTATGCAAGATGATCCCAATGGGGTATAGCCTTTAGTTATATTCTTTTATTTCATCATTTAAATATTTGTTTTGTGCATTTATGGGCTGTCCAGATTATTCCAAGCCTCACCCTGGCTTCTCCCTCTTTTGAGTTTAACCTGATTCTAAGTGAAGGCAGAATCAGTACTACCTTTCAGCAATTGTGTATTATGAATCACATGTTGGTAACTTGATTATTTTTGTTAACCAATTTAATATTATTTAGATACAAGAGAGATGGCTACAGGATAACCTTACTTTAAGAAAAAGAAATGAGGAACTAAAAGAAGTTGAAGAAGAAAGAAAACAGCATTTGAAGGAAATGGGTCAAATGCAGGTTTTACAAATGAAGAAGTATGTTTTTAAAAGCAGTCTTTAGTTTAAATACAGTCTTTTTACTGAATTGTGAAGAATATTCAATACGTATTTTTAAAAAAGAATTTTAGCATAAATGTCCCTTGAGACTTACAGGAGGGTGGACAGAGTTTTTATTCAACCATATGTCATGCTTTACGAATTGAATTACTGAAGAAGTGATAGAGAATTTGTAGTCCTACTACATTGATGGGCAGGATTAAATACGCCAAGTCCCAGATTTCTGCTAACCTGCTTCACGAGATAATGGTATCAAGCGTAAAGAGCACATATGGCCTGTGGACCAAGCCTGTGTCCCAGCTCATACAATTTCTAATACTGCCAGTGGCCTTATTGCCAAAGTGATCTGTCATTGGAGACCCATTGTTGATGGTCCCAGTCGTAATTGCAGGCCAACCAGAGCTGCTTTTTTTTTTTTTTTTTTGTAGATTAGTCTGTTGCTTCTTTCATCTAGTTTTCTTGATACTTACTTTAGTTGCTACCTTTCTGCTACAGCAGAAATGATTTTGTTCTTGCCTTGTGTACCTTAGAGTTGCCTTAGGAATTCTCTAAGGAACTGGTCGATGCTAAGGCACTAGACTGGTATAAAAGGCTGTACTAGCCAAATGGATTTTTGAACCACCGTAGCTAAATATAGGCCATTCGTTCAGCCACTTCTTAACAGATTTTTCATTTGTTTTCTTGACTTGACTTTAAATCTGAATCAAAGAATGCCTAAGTTTTTTTTAAAGGATGTTGTAATGAAATTTTAATTTACTTTATAAAACCTAACAAATGGTTTAATCTTATGTTATTGTAAGTACTCTTGGTTTAGCTGTTTAAAAATATCTTTCATATATTGAAGAAATCAGACTTTATAACTGAAAGAGCTCTTCATCTTCAGTCTCATTTCTAAAGCATTAGGACATTGAGATCCAGAAGAAAATCCACAGGAAGTTATGACAAAAGCCTGGAATGTGACCTAGATATCCTAGCTGCCAAGCCTCAGCTCTTTAACATTGTAATGTTAGTGCTCTCAGTGGGAAGTTGAAAGAGTGAAGCTTTTAGAAGATATGATTGAAACAACTTATTCTTTGCTACTGAAGACCAAAACCAGATATTTTTAAATTTCTTCTATGTTTGGTACATAACAATGATTTTTTATATTCATTCAGACTACTAAGTACAACTCCTCTTTTCCAAATCTGTCTTCAACTAGAATGCAACAGAAATGTCAGCAAAACAGATAATAAGGCCAGTTCTGTATGGATATCCATAAACTGTGGAGCATTGCTTAATAAGAGGGTGCTTAATAAGTAATTGTTAAGTGAATAAGATTCTTAAAGCACACAAATCTGTATTATCTCCCTAGTTACCAGAAAAGTTTGTGTATTTTACTTTTTTTGGTCATTATTATGCTTATACTTGTGCAAGTGAAATTTTGTTTTCGTAGAGTACAAACCTTTACTAAGTATTAACACAGAAACTAGTAGTTTGAGATGAAATTGTATTTTGTCTTTGATGTATTGTGAACAGAATGATGACACCTATTACTCAGTAGCTTCTCAGCGTTGGTAATTGTGCATTCTCGGTTCACAATCAGAATTTTGTGAATTTGTAATTTAATCACCAAGAGTACTTTTTTTAGGTTAGTGTCTAAAAGTGGGGACCACCTTGCTCAGTGTTCATGTGCTATGAGAGTTCCTTGTTCAGCACACAGAAATCAGCTGTTCACAAATCTGGATGCTTCAGAGATTTGGGAAGCAAGAAATTTTTCTTTAGTACTAAAGCCTTAAATAAAAAGCAAGGAGAGACTTACTGTATATCTAGAGAGATCTGGGCTTTTCCACTTCAGGCTGCTAAAAGCTAAAAATGGTCCTTAATTGTCATGTTTACCTTTTATAGTGAACATCAGAAGTTGGAAGAAAAAATAGACAGTATAAAAAGAAATCACAGTTTGGCAATAGGGCGACAGAAAGGCTATGAGGAAGAAATTATTCATTTTAAGAGAGAACTTCGAGAACCTCAATTTCGGGATGCGGAGGAAAAGTACAGGGAAATGATGATTGTTATGAGAACAACAGAGCTTGTGAACAAGGATCTGGACATTTATTATAAGACCCTTGATCAGTAAGTATTGGACTGGGGATTTGGTTCCCACTGCAGTCAGTATCAACTAGCATATTTTAGTCATGTTTTCCTCTTTTTTCTTTTTTATTTTTTAAATATACTTAATATATATCCAAGAATGGGAAAATATGTGGTGTGTATATACACACACATGCATGCTTACTTAAGTTATGAAGTTAAGTTTTACAGCATATTCATCTTAAGGAGTACTCTGGATACCACCCTGCATAGCCATTCCAAGAACTCTTCATTGTCACTAACTGGGATCCACTTAGATGCTCCTCCTTCTCATCTCAGCCTTCTGTCATCCCCTACTCCCTATAACCACTGACACAGATTTTTGCTTTCTGTGCTTTGGGGAAAAAAAAAAGAAAAATCATATGTAGGGTTCTGTTTTATTTTTTGAGCTTTTAAAAACAGTATTCTGTGTACTCTTCTAGGAATTGCCTTTTTTGTTTTGTTTTTACATACTCATGTTGCTTAGAGCTATAGTTCATTCATTTTCACTGATGTACAGAATTCTGTCATGGGAATATACCATACTGTATGGTATATGGTCTTTACTAATACAGCCTTTGCTCCTAGGAACATTCTTGTGAGGTCTTCTGGAGCAAAGGTGTAAGAGATTCTCTAGGGTATATGTACACGTAAAACTTTTTGCACTCAGTTTTACAAAATAATGTAAAATTGTCTTCCAAGATAGTTTTACTAATCTGCAGTGCTAGCAAAATATAAGGGTTATCTCTGATGCATCCTCTGACACTGATTTTGTCAGTTTCTTAATTTTGTGAATCTGGTGGGTGTACAGTGGTAAACCATTGTGGTCTTCATCGGCGATGCCCTGATTTCTAATGATGCTGAACATCTTTTCATATTTAATTTTGTTTTTCCTCTTTGAAGCATTTGTGTCTTTCACCCATTTTTAATGTCTTATCGGTGGTGGTACTGATCTGCCTGTGTTCTTTATCTCTTCTGCATCTTAATTCTTTTTCAGTTACATGTATTATAAATATCTTAAGTATTTTATGGTTAGCTTTCCACTGTCTTACTACAGTGCCTTTTAATGAACAGATTTGATTTTAAGGTAGTTGAATTTACAAATCTTGTCTATTTAGCTTTTTGTGTCTTAAGAAATCCTGTCCTACTGCTATTTTTTCTTCTAAAAGTTTTAGTTTTGCTTTTTACATTTAAGTACATTTAAGTATTTAATTCTAAATTGAATTTTGTATACATTGTGAGGTGGGAATCCAGTTTCATTTTTCCCTTGATAACCAGCCATCCTGGCTCTAATTATTGAGTAGCTAATCCTTTTCTTAACGATCTGCAGTGTCATTTCCGTTATATATCAGAATTCCCTATGTGTACAAGTCGGTTCTGGGTTTTCTGTTCTGTGCCACTAGTCACTTTGTCTAACTCTTTGCCATTACTGAGACTGCCTTAATTACTACAACCTTATGATATGTTCGACAAATAGCAGAGTTTTTTAAAATTGTCCTTTTAATTCATTTTAAGTGATGACTTAATATAGTTGTATTTAGTTCTGTCCCCTTTTTTTTCAACTTACACCTGCCTTCTCTGGAATTGATTTATTGTTGTTTATTCCTCCTTTTCCCCTTCTTTGGGTTATAAATGATACAGTCTCCTTTAGTTATTTGGGTATTTACTTTTTTTGTTGTAGTTGTTAAGAGAGAGAGAGGAAGGGAGGGGTGGGAAGAGGAAGAGAGAGAGAATCTCAAGCAGGCTCCATGCCAGGCACAGAGCCAGACATGGGGCTCAATCTCACAACCCTGAGACCATGACCGGAGCTGAAATCAAGAGTTGGCCACTTAACCAACTGAGCCACTCAGGTACCCCCTGCCCACCCCGCCCCCCGCCCCCCCGCTTTAAATTTTTAATATGTGTATTTGATTATTTGACTTAAAATCAAATGTGTGGGTTCTCAAAGAGGTCCTGGAGCAGCATTATCAGCACCACCTTGTAACTTGTTAGAAATGCAAATTCTCAGCCTCTACTCCAGACTGTTGGATCAGAAATGTTGGGGGACAAGGCCCAACAGGCAGTGTTTTACCAACACTTCTTGGTGATTCTAGTGCACATCAGAGTTTTAAAACCATGGCTCTACTGTGAATTGTTTTGATCTTCTTCCTGAATACAACTGATCTTGTCTGCTGTGTTTCTATTGTCTAGTATTTTAGTTTCACAGTGTTTTTATTTTATTTTTTTTTTAAGATTTTATTTATTTGACAGACACAGCGAGAGAGGGAACACAAGCAGGAGGAGTAGGAGAGAGAGAAGCAGGCTTCCCGCTGAGCAGGGAGCCCGATTCGGGGCTCGATCCCAGGACCCCGGGATCATGACCTGAGCCAAAGGCAGATGCTTAACGACACAGCCACCCAGGTGCCCCTCGCAGTGTTTTTATATCATCCCAAATTAGTAATAATCACTACAGTGGTTTCATCCTCAGTGCTTATTTGGATAAACCCTCGTGTTTACCAATTTTTTAAAAATCCTCTTTAAAATCTTTAAAAAAAAAAACATTCTTTGAGACTAAATTTTTCAAGGGTGGGAGCTGTACAGACGGGATGTTAATACTGATTGAATTCTTGGGCGCCTGGGTGGCTCAGTTGGTTAAGCGACTGCCTTCGGCTCAGGTCATGATCCTGGAGTCCCGGGATCGAGTCCCGCATCGGGCTGCCTGCTCAGCAGGGAGTCTGCTTCTCCCTCTCCCGCTCCCCCCTCTTGTGCTCTCTTTCTCTCTCTCTCTCACTCTCTCTCTCAAATAAATAAATAAAATCTTTAAAAAAAAAATACTGATTGAATTCTTACTGTTTGTTAGCTATAATCTAATTGAATTATTGCATCTACCCTGTAAAGGCCAAGTATTTATCAAAAAGATTAAGAAGACTGTCCAGGATTACCCAGTGAAAATTAACTTTGGTGATGGGGGTAATTGAGGGGCCACTTTAAGCCCTTTCAAAGGCAGGATCTTCTCTGAGAATGTGGCATTTGAGCTGGGACCTGATTGATGAGAGGGAGCAACATACACACAGAAAGCAGAGATGCAAGCCTTCCAGGTGGAGAGAACAGCTGATGCATAGGCCCCAAGACCAGTTCGAACAGGAGGGGTTGAAGGATTAAGAAAGGAAGCATGGCTAGAATATAGTAAGCAGGGGAATGAGGTCAGAGATAGATGGTTCCAGAGTGTGTGGTGCCCTTGTAGTCTTGGTAAATAGTTTGATAATTATTCTCTGTATGATAGGAAGTCCCTGGAGGATTTGAAGCAGGGAAGTCATATAATCTGATTCATAGTTTGAAGAATGTTTGGAGAATGGATCGTAGAGGGGCAAGAATAGAAACAAGGAGACCAGTGAGGAGACTGTTGTCATAATCCAAGAAATGGTGGTGGACTGGACTAGGGAGGTAGCAGTGGAAATGAAGAGAAGTGGATGGACTCAAGATTTGTTTTGGATATGGAGGTGACTGGCCTTGCTTCTGAATTGAATGTAGCGGAGGAAAAGGGAAGAACAGAATCAGAGATTGCTCCTACCTATTTTGACTTGAGGAATAAGATGTTGGGGGAGCAAAGTGCCATTCCCTGAAATGGCAGGATTGGGGAGGGGAAAATCTAGAGTTTTGTTTTAGACAGTTTAAGTGTAAGGCACCTGTAGGCACTTCAAGCAGTTGGATGTGTAATCTAGAATTGAGTAAGGTATAAATTTGGGAATCATCAGCATATATGTAGTATTTAAAACCACAGAGTGAGATTACATGAGACAACTGTAGATAAGGGAAAGGTCCCAAGACTCAAGATATTTACAAATCTAATGAAATAGCTGATGAAGTAGGAGAAACATGTAAAAGGTACAGTATCTTGAAAACCGAGTGAAGAAAGTTATTTCAAGAATCTAGTGTTATTGAGAGGTCAGATGAGATGAGGACTCAGAAGTGATCCTTGAATTTGACAGATGGAGGTGTTAATGATTTTGAGGAGCAATCTCAGTGGCTTGAACTGAAGCTTTGGAGTTGGATGAAGAGAGAATGGGGTAAGAAGTGGAGACAGTGAGTAGAGATAATTCTTAACAAGAAGTTCTGTGAAGGGGAGCTGAAAAGTGGGGTGATAGGCAGAGGGACTGTGGGGCCAAGGTAGGTTTTGCTTGATGCTTCTTTTAAATTTTACTTGTATGTCTTCTGCTACAACGTAACTCCTCCTCATAGTACATTGACCTGCAGACTTGGGGTTTCATATGTGTTAACTGAATAGGAAACTATACCTAGGAGCCCTCCAGCTATCCCTGCATACCCCAAGACGCCTTGACAGCAGGAAGGAAAGGGATTCCCTCTATCAGGCACATGTTCATTCAGAAATCCCTGTTAGTGTTTTCTTGTCGGGCTATGGAAAGACAGAAATATCATATCCTGTCCCTACTGCAGACTGCTAATGGTCCAGTAGGGGAGCCCATGGTAGGTACTCCACAGTCTGTATTTGATGTATTTGACCTTGGCCTTGGATAATGAACAGAGGGCACTTCAGTAGAGAAAAAGTACCTCGGTGCCAGAGCCATCACACTGAGCAGAGTGAGGGTGTGTGAGGGGGCTTGATGGGGCCGGTCAGGAGGAGTTTGTGGGGGCGGGGAGGTGCAAAGGTGCTTTCCAGCAATTTAGGCTTGCCTTAAGGAACAAAGCCAGGCTGTTTACCGAGTTCTGTTATCTGGTAATCAGATGGATTCTTCTAAATGAGAAGAAAAGAAGTGGTACAGATTTCCCCAAAATTGAGTCTTTGTGGGCTTGTGCTGGCAAATGGTGGCCTTATTAAGGTTCATATTGTGAGCCTTAAATTTGCCTTCTCACCTAGAAGAAAGGTCCAAAATTTCCCTCATTGTTTCACCTCTTAGAATGAAGCATGTAATCAGTGTAATTGTTGCATTCAGCTGTCTATTTAGGGTAACACAGGAAATTAGCAGTGCATTTTCAAGAAAAGCCGATTACCATCTGTTATTAGT